CAATCTGGAAATGATGTGGAATTACTTACCGCCATGTTCGATTAGAGCTTCCAGAATACTATAATGTTTCCACAATTATGAAGAAAAATTGTATAATTTTTCCGTGTGTAATTTGCATACAAAACTCTTTAATTGAGGTTCAATTTGCGTCTTTCAACAACCCATTAATAATTAGGGCAAGATCCTCATAAAAATGGGGAAATTGTTGGAAAATCGTCGAACCTTCGATAAAGAATTACTTAACCTGTCCTTGGCATATGGTTTAGTTTAAGACGGGAGTTTATAAACAAATATTTTAATTAGTTGAGTAAGAAAGTAGATATAATTCTTTAAGGTAAGTATGAACTTGCACCCAAATGTATTTGGAACATTTCATTTTGATTATGAATATAGATAATACACATCGATCTGATGAATGAAATGCTAGAAATGAAATATAATTAGTTTGGAGTCAAAACGAGAACTTCGAAATATCTTAATTTTTACTAATAAAGGTTAATTATGAAGAAGGAACTAATTGAGCGGATAAGTAGACAATTGAATAAAAGAAGAAAAGTTGGCTCAATGGAAACCTGAAAATTAAATAAGTGGATAATTTAATTATATAATAATAAGGATTAGATCTAATGTGCCCCTGAAGAAATCTACATTGTCCAGACTTTTGGTCGTTTTAACAGCATTTTAAACATTTATGGGTAATGTTAAGTGCGGATGGTACCAAAGGCCATCCAAATAGATATTTGTATCATAACAATTGTAAGTATTTATTTATTGGGCACAATGTCAACCGTTAAATTTCCAATGTTTTGTACTTTATTTTCACAATCGGTTTGGTCGGCATTTAGTTAAAATTATATGCAATTATTCAAAATTAAAACAAGAAAAGACAATTCAAGCAAATTCCAGGTTAACTTGACGCCAAACCAAATCCTGATAAAAATAATTGTCACTATTTCGATAATATGTAATTGTTGCCTTATTCACATATTTTACGTTGACACAAAAGCCTTAACGATTACTTCCATTAGGTAAGTCAGTTATAACGTGGAAAAAAAACCGAGTATATATAAATATATCTTGGAGTCTTCAGCGCTTCATTGTGTTTAAATATAATCAACTCTGCTAACACCCGAAGTAGACAACACTCTGTAAATGTTTCTTACTTTTTTATTTGCTTGTTTTATTGTGGAAACGTTGAGCTAATGAAATAACATAGTAACTAGTTTATTTTAACCTAGAACGTACTTTGCGTTTGTCAGGATCAAAATGTCTAAATAAAAAATATGTTTGATTTTATATGAATATAAATTGAACAGATCAAGCTAACGTTTTAAATTTTGTCCATAAACAATGAAAACAGCAATTAAGGGTTTTAAGCAATGAATAAAACAATCTGGAAATAATGTACAATTACTTACCGCCATGTTCGATTAGCCCTACCAGAATACTATAATGTTTCGACAATTATGGGGAAAAATTGAACAATTTTTCCAGGTGTAATTTGCATGCAAAACTCTTTAATTGAGGTTTGTTTTGCGTCTTTCAACAGCACATTAATTATTAGGGCGAGATCCTTATAAAAATGGAACCTGATGAAAAATCGTCTGGCTTTCGGTAAAAAATTACTTAACCTGCCTTTGGCATATGGTTTGGCTCAAGGTGAGAATTTATAAACAATTATTTTAATCATTATGTTACCGGCAATGTTTAATGCAAAAGTTTAATGTTTAGTACCCTAAGTAGCAAACAACTTTGTAAAATTTACCGCGTTTCCAGTGTTGGTTTTTTATTATTAGTTCTTATTCCTGTCCTATTAGTAACGTGCAAGCAAACTTTGAATTTTTGGAAGTTTGGTATTCGGGTTTACATATTGTTGAATGTAAAATTAAAACCAGGGTAATTAATAGAGACATATTTGCCAATGAAAACTCAAAGTCTAAATATGAAGCAACATACAAGATTTTCGAGAAACGATGCGCTGGAAATATGTAAATGTCGTTAACGAAAACAAACTGATATCATAATTTTGTAAAATTTAAAAAACATCCGCAGTTATGGAGCTAATAATTTAAGCTTTCATACTTTAATGCTGTTGATAAATATAATATTAGTGTTAAATAATCTTATATTATATATTAAATCGTACCCCGCTACTCACAAAGAGGCGCCAAATGATCCGTAAAACAAAAAAATGTTGGGCCGAATTAATTCGAATGAGGGTGGGATGGACGCTAAAAAGATATTGTGCCCCGGGCGCGAGTTAAGCTTGCCTGGTCAGTCTTAGTCAGTACATATAAAAATTTATATTCACTTCAAATGTCTTGTATTACACAAGAAGTAAGTATTAGGACTTGCAGTGGAAACTGGAGGAAATCCAAAGTGCATCTACCTGATAACAGTGCACATTTATTGCAAGTAGTTGACCAACTACCCTCGGTACTGAAGTCTGGTTTGCCTTTCAATCTCCAAATATGTCTACTAAATTGAAATTCTCAATGTTTTTCTGTGTGACAGTGTCTTCGTTGAATTAGTATGAATTATCAACAAAATTGAAATAATTCTTCTGTGGGGTTAATAGTTTTGGTGCATAATGTTGATAATATTTATGGATAGAAGAGTAGTCCACCAAAAACAACACCAGCAGTTGCTGTTGTCCAAATTCTCAGCTCAAACCGGAAGAACACATGTGATGTTGCAAAGTGAAAATGCACCTTTGGACCAAACAGGAATGAAGGAATTTGCAGAATTAGCTGACCAGTATTATTGGTTCAAGCCTTTGAAGCTAGTGAAAAATGGAACGGTCGGAAAAATATGGAATGCTACATCATACAGCTGCGGAATTAGCATTTTTGAGCTGCAAAAAGTAAGCAACAATATCCTCAAGTACATCGATTTGTTTGACATTAATGATTACGGAATGAAATTGTAAAATATCTTTATTGTTTCCTTTGAACTATGCAATGAAAAGTTTTTCTGGAGTTAGATTTTAGTATACTATTTTGCTGCTTACAAAAGTGTTTGGAACTTTTAAAGTGTGATATTGAATGGTGGAATTGCGGAAAAAGTCTTGTCAACGGCGATTTCAGTGATGAAATGCTCTTGGGCAGCATCTCGTTAAAATGTATCTCAATAATCTCCATATTATTGTGCTTTCTTCTTGGATCACGATCTTTCCAGCAGCGCTTTTCCATCAATAAGCTTCATTTTAGTGATTAGATGGAAAAACGATCAATTTCTTATAATTTCCCCAATTGATTAATTATCAACTATAACTTGACGAGAAACTAGATCAGTAATTGTATATATGTTTCATGTCACAAGTGAGAATTATTTTCATAGCTTAAAACAAAATTTTTCAAACGCTCGATTACCAAACCGCAGGGTGTTTCAAGCGTTAAGAGTTTTATGGCTTATTTGT